TATATATGAACATATATATAGAGAGAATATGAATGTTCCATGTTATTGGTCATGATATGTTGGATATTCTCTTGGAGCGAAAAACTATCATTTTGTCTGTGGCCATGCAGGACACTGTAATCTATGATAGACTGGGGGACAATCAGACCTACAGAGATATCACCTTGGGGCACCTGGAGTCGTTTGCCACATCAGGTATAACACTGCCTATTCTACAATCAACTTTGTTAAAATTAGTTTATTACTACTGAACGTAATTGGCTTGATGTATTTAACCGTGTAAACAATGCTTGATATCTCATTGCTGTAATAGAGATGAATGTGCCTGTTGTAACATGGTTGAAGCATATTATCGCATGTTTGAAATCACGTTATATCACATGTGTGACGACGTTTGTGGTTATCAGGTCTCAGAACTCTGTGCTGTGCAGTTAGTGATATATCGAGTGAGTTGTACGATCAGTGGAAGGATATGTACCACAAGGCTAGCACTTCCATTCAGTACAGGGAGAAAAATTTAGAAGAGGCAGCAGAGGTCATTGAAAGAGTAAGTTATATTGTGATATTTCTTGCGTATTTCATCAGTCGCCATGTATTAGTTGCGAGAAAACCTTGGGGGCAAGGAAATTCTTCTCCGCATGTGAGTGCTATGTCATGTTTCAAACCGTTGCTCTCTCCCTCTTGCTTTCACTGATAAAACAAATATTGACTGGACTTGCAGGATATTAACTTTTTATGTTTTCCTATAATCTTGATAGAAGGAATCAAGGGACTAAGCTAAAAAATAATTTGTTTTCAGTTGCCTTGTAATTTGTATACGCTGTAGTACTTACTGTACAGCACAAGGGTAATCGGCACAATCAGATAGCATAATAATAATAATACTAACACAAGGGTATATATATTTATCTTGGTGGCAGAATTATTTTCTAGCAATCTATAGCCACAGTTAGGGTGCACACTTGCAGTCTTATGTGAGTAGGTCATTTTAAAATGTGAAGGAATATAGACGACTTACCTTGATATAATTCTCATATCATGTGTAATATGTATGGTGTATGTGTGATTTGTATGTGTGTGTGCGTGCGTGCGTGCGTGCGTGCGTGCGTGCGTGCGTGTGTGCATGTTTCGTGTGATTGTGTATGAGCTTCACTGTATGTACAATCTGCTGTGCTTTGTTGCAGAATCTCATGTTGCTAGGAGCGACAGCTATTGAGGACAAGTTACAGCAGGGGGTGCCCGAGACTATAGCCGCTCTACTGAAGACTGACATCAAAGTGTGGATGCTAACTGGTGACAAGCAAGAAACTGCTGTGAATATAGGTAGCTGTCCCCTGACCTGCGCTAATAAGGCCACTCTTTGTACAGACACTCACCTATGCATCCATAGAATTCAGCTAATTCACTCACTGATTTAATTGTGAATTTCGTTGAAAACAAACTTTGTCTGCATACTTACATAACCCGTGAAGTCTTGGATAGAGTTACATCAAACAATAACTCATTTTAGGGCAATCTCATAGACGCTAGTAATTATGCAGATATTATAATGTAATGCAGTTGGTCCTTGCTATATGATGCCTCAGTACGAGTCGTTGTCAGTTTATTAGGGAATATATTTCACTACATGTCAATAAGTTTCACATTTACATCATTATCTGACAAACTCATCATTGATAAGTTTGGAATGTGTAACTAGATCTTGCTGCAAGCTTTGTGCAGTAGCGCAAGCAGTAGTACACATGCCAACCCCCATGTGTGTGACATTTGTTACAGTATATGGACTGCTGTAATATTACAGTGGTTACACGTTGTTATGTTTCTACATGGATACCGTTACGTGATGAAATCATAACGTTCGCCAGAGTCACATGCCGTAATGACATATTATGTGGAAACGCGTGATTATGAAAGTGAAACAGAAATATCACTATGGTCTTTTGTATGGTATGGTAATTTCGTTGCTCTATTTACTGTGCTGTTTTATACTCACTGCCAATTATGCCTTGTGTTAATAACTTTCAGTATGATTTAAAGGTGTAAATGTTTTCTAGGGTATGCCTGCAAATTACTGACTCATGGAATGCCAGTTCTCATGGTCAATGAGGAGACATTAGATGTAGGTTTTAGTTTATGGAAATAAACAGTGGTCTCATTAATTTGCCAGCTATTTCACACTAGATTTCAATTATCATTCTGAATTTGCAGTAATTATTGTCGAGTTGCCGTGTCTTGACTAGTTGATTGTAACTATTGACTAGCTATTGAATTTAACTTTGTTTAACTATTTATGGTTATATCAGTTATAATGGAAAGGCTTATATATTTACCATAAGTACCTTACATGATTCCCTTTTCTACAGGCAACGAGGGAGACAGTACGCAGACACATGCACGACTTTGGTGAACATCTTAAAAAGTCTAATGAAGTGGGGCTAGTCATTGACGGCCAGGTAAATTAGGAATTATCGATCACAGCAGCTCTTATACTTTATAGTCACAGCTGCCTTGCTTTGTAAAACTGTCTCATTGTACATCTGCGGTAACACACAGGGCGGATCATCTTTGCATCGTGTTTCCTTCTGCCAGAGTATCTTTTTTGCACTATGCATAATTAATTTAATTAATTATTACGATGCAGACGCTGAAGTACGCGTTGTCATGTGACGTGAGACAGGACTTCCTCGACGTAGCATTGTCTTGCAAGGCGATCATCTGTTGTAGGTACGTTATAGCCAGTTTATACATCCAACAGGTGTGTTACCTACCATCTACGTATCTGTGTTTTATGTATGCACTTCTATATGTAAGCTAGATAATATGCACAACGTAACATGCAAGGCGATCATCTGTTGTAGGTACGTTGTAGCCAGTTTATACATCCAACACGTGTGTTTCCTACCATCTACGTATCTGATTTGAGTTACATTTCTAAAATTCTAGATACATATCAACACCTGTCGTAGCTATAATCACCGTGAATTTTGAGTTTATTGACACACGAATAGTTTAATTAATTACCATAAAATATACGCGCAGTATCGCTCGGTACGATGAGCGATACCGCGCGTATATATTTGGTAATTAATTAAACTATTAGTGCTTCAATAAACTCAAAATTCACGAGAATTATACTGTGTTGACAACTCATTTCGCGAGATATTAGAGTTAGTACACTTTCTTACGGCCCATAGCCTAATAGCGCATGTTGGTGGTGGAGGGGGGGGTTAACGGCTGTTTACAATGCGCCAGCGTGCTCAATAGGAGTGGTGGCCTTTGGGGGGTTCGGAATCGGCGGCCGCCATAATATATGCGCCCGAGGCTACGTTATCGCGCCACGTACGTAGGTCAAAGGTTGCACACTGCGTGCGGAAAACCATCTTTCTGCACAAACTATACTTGTATCGTTCGCTGACCAACTACTAGTATAGTGTTGGTTTAGCAAACTAGTGGGGGAATTGTGGTTCGGTGGCGCACGCATCTGTTGGTAGGAAATATGTACACGTGTTTCTGTAAAAGAAGATAAGGTTTTTATAAATAACATGTTGGTGGCGTTACAATGTGTATGGTTGGTGGAAAATATGGTGTGTGTTTGTAAACCGACATATGGTTAGACTAAATTGACAGTTACCTACCATCTATCTGTGTTTTATGTCTGAACTTATATATGTAAGCTAATCAATGCGCACAACGTAACATGCAATTAAGGCCTTGTTATATGGTGAGCACTGCCTCATAGCTGCCAGTATATGTCATGCTAGAAGAGCCGCATGCTTAGATATTAATGCAGGTAACTCGATTTGTGCTCAATGGATTTGATGTATTTGTACAGTTTAACGTGTTTTTTGGGAATAAATATTTCAATCAATTAACGTAATTTCAAATTTGTGCAAACTTATTTATAATAATGCAAGCAAACTTCAACAAACACAGCCACAGGGCGGGCAGCTCAGGGTTGTAATTCTGTGGCTTGACCACCAAAATGAAGTGAGCAGTCATTCATGCAGTCAGTCATTGTGCACCTCTGCCCATCTGTTCCTAGAAGCCATAATTAAACCTGTTTGTGCTTGCGATCACTAACTTGCATTCCATAATTGCATAGCTTGTGCTTGTTAGTAGAGAACCATGGGATGCCTTCGGGGAAGTTACGAAATCACGAAGTTCGTGTGAATATTGATTATTTGTTTATCAGCTGCATTCCATGGTTCTCCACTAACAAGAACAAGCTGTGCAATTATGGAACGCAAGTTCGTGATCAGCAGCCAGGTTATAGAGCAAGCATATTCATTCGTGTGTATATAATAAATATATATACATATAAGAATAACTTTCTGTCGAGGGTAGGTAACAGTGCAGTATTGATTCAGTTGCTATGCAGTGTGCTTCTGAGCTGCTTACATCACCTGCAGTATGCTGCGTGTGTTTTTACAGGGTTTCACCGATGCAAAAAGCAGAGATTGTACAGATGGTGAAGATTTCGTATCAGGCTATCACGCTAGCCATTGGCGACGGTGCCAACGACGTGGCAATGATTCAGGTACCCACTGAATCCTAACAACCTATAGCACCATACATATATCATCATAACACAGAGAACCTATGATTATATTGATAGTTTGTGGATTATAGTAGGGGGGGATTTATAGTAGGAAACCTTTGTGATCAATAGATATAGACAAAAGCCTATTTATTTACTAGTAATATTTATTATGACCCTAGTTTATACAATGATGGTGACTGCAATATTCTGCACCCTTAAACTAAAATGTATTTTATATAATGTGCAATATTAAACGGGCATTTACTCTTCATAGACATAAGAATACACCGAATGACTTGTCTGTGATAGTTAATCCTTCAATATATTATTATATGGATGTGTGTGGTAGTGATGGTGGTGGTGGTAATAGTGTGTGTTGGCATCCCTCTGGTAAACCTTCTCATGGCATATGTGGATTTGTTGTTTTCTATCAGGATTGTGAGTCACTGGTTCCTTTATTGCCAGTAGTGTCATGCTTTGAGTGTATTGCGTATGCTCAAGTAATCGTTTAAAGAAATTATTTCTTGGAGTTTATTAAAAATCTGCCGCATCTGGGAATGGGTCACATGCATGCTAAACACAGTTGTGCTGAGTCTTCCCAATTCCAAAGGTAGTGCATGCACTAATAGATGAATATTTGTTCAGGATGTACATTGGCAGTACAATTGTACAGGAAGTACATTGACATAAAGGCATAAACACTGGGTAAACATGAGGAAACAGTGCAACGTTTAACCAATTTTAAAGGAATAATAGGTCCATTGATTATGCAATGTTGACGAATGCTAGAGTAACTGGCACCTTGTGTAGTTAATAAGTACATTACCTTATAGCCAAACGCGTATTTGTTTGTCCAATATCACTGCTGGTTACATTACAAACAAGACTTGAAATCGGTTATTGATATGTATCAACGTATCATTTACGTGCCGTAAATGTCATCCAGGAGTCAAGCGATGACGTAAACATTTGTGCGGCCCGTATGTTTTGGACGCCAGATGAAACGGAGGTGTCAGCGGTGTAACCACGGCCACGGACTAAACATGGAAATAGAGTAAAACACACGTACTAATCACGGCCGCACGTGGACAGCCCTGACAAAAAGTTCCTTATCACGAGCGTTCATGTTTACGAAATCACTGATGATAGTGAAATATGTGATACGGCCGAGCATGCGTGCGAAAATGTCCGGTGCACTATAAATCTGTATCACACCCGCTTCGCCGGCAGCGGTTTGAAACTGTAAACAACAGATTTTTGGACTGCTGATTTCAATTAGACATTTTTTAGTAACCAGCAGTGATATTGGACAAACTAATACGCGTTTGGCTATAAGGTAATGTACTTATTAACTACACAAGGTGCCAGTTACTCTAGCATTCCTCAACATTGCATTATCAATGGACCTATTATTCTTTTAAGAGAGGCCGGTGACCTTTAAAGGAAACCAGTCTCCTTTCAAGGAAGCGCTTCTCCATGGTGGTCAATGAATAAATTTGGTGTTTATTGTGACCATGAAGGGCAGGGCCGGCCATTAGCATATTGCATGGGTGTGTGTTGGTGGGGTTAATCATGGTGTTGGGTTACCTTGCAGCAAGCACATGTTGGTGTAGGCATCAGCGGCATGGAAGGCCTACAGGCTGCATGTGCATCCGATTATTCTATCGCACAGGTGAGAGGGTGACAGTGCAATAGGTACCATGTTCTTTCTAACATTGAGCATGTTCAGAGAATGGTGGAGATGATTAAAAAAGGTCCATACTTGGGAACGTTGAGCATGTACTGTGAATATCTGCTATGTTGAAACAACATGGAAACATTTGCTGACTATTGATTATTAATCTGGGTTATTGTTCTTAAATGTACCTGTGTATTTTTGCACATTTTTGTAAGGGTTACATAAAAAACTCAACCATAAAACTCTAATTTTCTGATTTTACATTTTTCACGTGCATTTGAGATAAATAGATAACTAATAAGTTAATCATATTATAAATAATGATGTCATTATTTGAAATGATAATGAAAATACTCATTTAAATAGACTATGAAATAATAAAATATATGTGATGGGGTAATATTGCTCTAGTGGTCAGTCAGGCAGATGGGGTCGTTGTCGTATCAGGTACTACAGATATGTACCCGAGGTAGTTTTAGGTTGGTTAGTATTATGTTTATATTTTTATATGAGGTATGTTTAGGGTTAGTGTTAGGGCTAGGGTTAGGGTTAGGGTACACTTCTGTAGTACAAGTCTGGTACATTTTGTGTATACATATATGTACCTCGGGTACATATCTGTAGTACCTGATACGACAACGACCCCTTCAGCATCAGTCAGCACTCACAACTTCATTTCCATTCATATTTTTTTTCTTATCTTTATTGCCTGATTGCAAACTTGCTCGTAGTTAATATTACTTTCTATCATGTATAATGTATGTTATTAATATTGATTTTGCCTCTAAACAATTTAAATATTTAATTGGCATCTCACGATCTAGTTCCGATTTCTGGCGAAGCTGTTGTTTGTACATGGAGCGTGGAGCTACAGCCGCTTGACAAAACTCATTCTCTACTCCTTCCACAAAAACGTCTGCCTTTACGTTATTGAGGTGAGATAACAATGTTTTATTGGTGTGGAGGCGCAGAGTGATTGAACTGATACTCCTGAAACAAAATGTAATACTGTGAAACTGTGTTTCATAACTAGCCTGTGAACTTTGTAGTAATAAATCATAAATATTGTCAATAAGGCCTTAATATCTCATTTTAATTGCAGATTAGTGTTTAGTGATGAAACTATATTCATGAATATGAAGTTCAAAATAGCAATGACATATATATATCATTTGGCTTTTTTGGTAGTAATGCTTTTACACAGTTATGGGGTTTTCAGTGATAGAGATTGTTGTTTCAGCTTTGGTTTGCAATGCTGTGTGGATTCTCTGGTGAGACCCTGTTTGAACGCTGGACGATTGGCTTGTACAATGTTGTAAGTGTCTGCGCATTTCAGTAATTCAACATCACTGTGATCAGTAATATGTTGCTCGGATAACAGATTCTTGTACTTTCCACACAATGAATTCACTTGGGTTACTCATATCGACAGTATACTCCCGAGTTTTTGCACTTTTGACTTACTGTAAAAAAAAGTAAAAAAAATCTTCACAAACGTTTGTGGACTAATACTTTGAGAAGTGTCATTCAACCGGATCAACCTAGTACATTAATGAATTCATTAGCAAAGAAATCTCTACCACTATAAAGAAGTACACCTTTAATCATTGAATAATAAATAGGATCATGGCATAGAAGAGGGCTACAAATGTCTTCCGGACGTCTTTACATATCCTTACATATGTTACATAGCTCTACATATCTCTTTATCTCTGTACTTGTCTCTACATGTGTGTACATGTGTCCACCTATATCTACATATTTGTACATGTCTTTGTATTACTATACATTTCTACTTATCTCCACATGTCTGTCTATATTTTTGTATTTCTGTACTTATTTCTACATATCTATACATGTCTTTACATATCTGTACGTATTTTTACATATATCTATGTATCTGTGCACGTCTGCATATTTACAATTTTTTTTACATATCTCTACATGGCTGTGCTTGGCTCCACATATCTCCACATGTCTCTGTATCGATAGCTCTCATACGTGTGTGTTGCAGATTTTCACCGCCTTCCCACCTCTCGTTATCGGCTTGTTCGATCGCACCTGCAGTGCTGAGAATCTGCAGCGATTCCCAGCTCTATACAAACCATCGCAGAATGGCCAGCTATTCAACGTAAAGGTGAGCAAGTGCGCCATGGGCGTTTACGCAGACCAACGTTAAGCAACGTCTTATTTCCGATGATTAACTTGCATAGGCTAGTATTTCACGGGCGGTCAGTAGCTAAATAGATATCCTTGATTTATTCATATAATTTTTATTTATTTAGTCATTATTTATTGTTTGTATTTTGAGTATTATATATATATATATATATATATATATATATATATATATATATAGTCATTTTCTACACAGTGCTATAGTTGTGGTCGTGGATTTAACGGCAAAGTACTTGTACATTTGTAATGACAATTGGAGTGAATTTTTAGCGGGTGCCTCACTCATGGCGAGCCAGTCATATAATACTTGAGGGTTATTAAACTTGGTACAACCGACAACCAAGTCACGAGTAATACCGCCACCACTTAATGGGAAGCATTGCTGAATACGTCAGTTCTACAGTGTAGTTGACACAAATTCATTTCATTAGTTTAGGATGAAAGCCTTAACCTAAAGATTGCACTCAATATCTCTGTTAATTTCCTTGAAATATGTTGCTATTAATGAATTTCCGGTGACTCTCAATTTTGTGCTATTTCAGGTATTCTGGCAATGGATTATCAGTGCTGCCATTCATTCTGTACTCGTGTTTTGGCTGACTGCAGGCATAATACAACATGGTAATTCTCAACAGTTATGTGTACTGAGCATACAGTTCTTACTAAGTGATAGCCTGAATATATCTCTACTATAGTATAGATATATTCTTTGTAATAGCTGATGTTGGCTTTTAGTGGGTTATCAGGAAGTAGTAAGAGTATCTTGTTTTCTCATGATATTAATTATAGGTTTTAGACTAGTTTTACGGTTTATTAGCATCAGTTGGCATCAATTTCGTCAATCTGTGCTAGCATTAACTATTTCAATCATGGGTTAAAGTAATAAGCCTACCTATTATAATCTTAGAGTCTTCCCTGGCAATAGTTGTTAACCATTAATCAAAAGTTATCTCGACTCGTCATGTTGCAGATGTCGTGTGGGGCACAGGAAGAACTGCAGATAATTACTTCTTTGGCAACATGGTTTACTCAGTAAGTAAAACACATAAGTCGAAACCTTGTGTAAAAATGCAAAAGATTACGACTACTGTACATAACACCAGGGGTTAATAATGACAAATTTGTCATTATTAACCCCTGATAACATCCAAGTGACAACTGTCTAAAATATTGTGCTGTTTTTTGCAGTATGTCGTGGTAATAGTCTGCTTGAAAGCCGGACTTGAGATTGATGCGTGGACGTCGGTGAGTGGGCACCTGTTGTAATATAAAGGTTTTCCTTTAACTAGTCATCGTTCACCTGCTACATAACTTGTCTTACATTAATGAGGGTTCACATACCTAAAGCAGAAACCTTTCCCGTGAGTTTTCCAGACCCATTTTGGAACTGAAGATGAGATTTTCGAACGTGAGATTTTAGCCGAATACAATCTTGTGGTGTCTTATCCACCGTGACTGATTGCAATCTGTGTTGTGTCATCTATGTGCGTTGTGGATCACTGCAGATCACTCACCTCGCGATCTGGGGAAGCATTCTCAGCTGGTTCATCTTCCTTGGCATCTACTGTAACTTCTGGCCAACTATACCCATAGCATCGGAAATGCTCGGGGAGGTAAGCATGTTTAGCACACAGACTTTGCGCAGAAAATTAAATTACAGAGACCCATGTGTGCCACGTAACGTTGTATCGCTAGAAGTAGGCAGTGCCACCTTGAACATATTTATGTTACTGAATGAATACGTGTGCTCGTGATAGCACAGTTTGTTGGTTCGTTCATTAGGTCATGGCTTGAATCATCGAGTAAATTTAGTTAAAGTCATGTTTGGTAATTACGTGGCTGTGTAGCATTTATTTCTGGTGACACAGCTCTGTATATTTTATGCAGGACAAGATACTACTGAGCTCCGGTGTATTCTGGATGGGACTCATAACAATTCCGATTATCGCTTTATTGGGCGATCTCACATACAAAATGTAAGTTAATAGGAGTATGTTACATCTGTATTCTCATCATGTTCTCATATGCAAGTTTTCCCCATTGTGTGCCCTTTAATTTTAACATTGTTTTGTTCTGGTTCAAAGAACAATGGTTGTTCTGTGCCTTTTCAAGTTTTTATTGTTGTTAGTTATTAAAAAAATTGTTTAACATGTGATAAATTATCAAGAAATGTAGCTAGTGTACTTCCGTGTGTATTGCCATTGCAGAAAATGAGGCATGCACTGCATGATAGGTCATAGCCATCACCAAGTTTATTACTATGCTTGGCAGCTGCAGAAAGTTTAGTAATAATATATTTAGTAATTAATGTTCCATTGTAACTAGTATTTGCTTTTATGTTCATGTTCATGTCTATATTGTATTAATTTTCTTTTATTTGCCATAATATTTCAGATTTTGAACTTATTCTCTAGCCTCCTATGCAGAAAGAACCTAATGATCTAATAGATGATGTTAATAATAATAATAATAATAATAATAATAATAATAACGTCTAACCTTCCTCGCCGGCACCTTGCAGAATCAACAGGTCGATGTTTAAGACGCTCGCGGAGGAGGTGCGAGCGAAGGAGCTAGCCAACGAGGACCCGGCGACGGTCGTGTACCGCGCGAGCAAGCACACACTCACCGAGACCGCGCGCTTGCTGAAGAACGTCTTCCGCAAGCCGCCGCGCATCCCCGCGCAGCAGCAGGAGTCGCAGCGTAAGTGCGCGCCGCGACGCGTCGGCCGCGGACGGATGCGGCGCGTGGCGAGCGGTCTTGCGATTAAAACGGCCTCCGTGCGAGCTCGTCGCTTTTGCAACGTGCGGGTCAACAGCGTTTGTAATCGTATTCGTTTCGTTATTATAAAAGCTGTTGGTTCGTTATTGCGAATGCAGTGGGTTATTGCAAGGGTCGTTTTCATTACCTACGTCGTCGCTATGCTGTGTCGCTGTGTGGGTGTGTCATTGTGGTAGCTGTCACTGTGTTTGTTTTCCATAACCTGATCAGCCTCTCGTGGTAAAGAACTTAGATTATATACCCCTGCTTCCATCCCAGCAAAAAAAAATTGAGAATTAATATTATATGGATAGAGCAGTATTAATGCTGATTGGATAAAATACATCATGCGTTAGGGAAGTAGTGATATTATTATTATCAATAAATTGTTTTTATGAATTCATAAGAACTAATTAATATTACCTTTTTAATAAAAAAAAAAATTTAATTCTAAATGCTGGGTCAGGTTATGGCAAACAAGATGCAATCAGAACAATCATTTAATGGTGGCCTGGTTTTGTGTAATTGAGGTGTGCATGAGTGCTGTACGCTTTATACTCGCATGTGTGATATGAGTTCATTCGTGTGTTTTTAGCTCATCTGACGTAGTCAGATGCAGCTTGTAGAATCGCATGATTGTCCGTCCGTGCGTCCGTCAACAGTTGGGCACAAATCTTAACCGCTCGACGTACGGTCACGATATTAGGGACGTCGGGGGGGGGGGAGATCGTGAAAAGGACTTGGGGGTCAAGGGTCAAAGATGTGTCAATGGAGGGAATATTTCCCCTTAACTTAAGGTATAGGAGGAAATACGGATTGCAGACACAATATTAACGGCTGCCACCTATGCTCTTAATATTCGGTGTGTATAGTGTGATGGGCAGGAAACCCATCACCAGTGGAAATTGGAGGTCAAGGGAGTGGGGGAAAGGTCAGATATCAGACATTTTCTGAGGACATGGGCTAATGGACAGAGTAGAAACTTTTTGTTTCAGCGCTGGACCTACCATTTTTAGCATATCTGACATAGTCAGATGCAGCTTGTAGAATCGCATGAGCGTGCGGTCGTCCGTCCGTGCGTCGGTCAACAGTTGGCACAATGCTAAACGGCTCGACGTACGGATTCAAAAGTCGGGACGTAGGGGGATAATCTGAAAACGAGTTGGGGATGTCGAAGCTGGGGGTGTAAAGGTCAAAGATCAAGGAGGTGTAAAAGAAGGGGGAACTTTCTCTTTAACTTAAGGTATAGGGAGGAAATGCAGAATTGGCGGCACAAATCTAAACGGCTCGACCTAGGCTCGGTGATAGTCGGTGTATAGCATCATGGTGGAAAAGCCATCGACTGTGCCGAAATTGGAGGTCACAGGTCAAAGGGCAGTGGGGAACAGGTCAGATATCAGACATTTTCTGAGGACGATGGGCTAACAGGACCAGGTGAAAAACTTTTTGTTTCAGCGCTGACCTACCATTTTTATCACTTTATTGAAAGGACCATGAAATGTGCTTTCCAGCTGGACGTGCGAAGAGTAAGTGTCTGATACCTTTGACGCCTCAAGAGGAGGGTTAAACATGGATTCCTGAACTGTCTCAATGATGTCACAGTCATGGCACATCCATAATCTGGAAACCCAATAATATGCCTTGATAGCCTAACGGCTACAGCACAGGATTACGTCTTAAAGGTCCTTGGATCGAATCCCATCAGATTTTTTATTATTTACCTGTTTTCTGTATTTTTCTATCTTTATCCATTTAACTATTTCTTTCCAATTAAGACAAATATTTACATGATTTATTTACAACAATTTCATAACAACAAATAATTTTTACAACAATTACATTTTTTTTAAAAATAGGGTTAGGGTTAGGGTCACAATGCACCATAAAACAGGAGTTTCAGGCACGCGATTTGTATCAACCAATAGGATTTGGGAGGTATGCAGAATGTAGAAGGTTGCTGAAATGATGTGTACGCAACTGCGTATCTGCATATCTGCGCCTAACAAAGGTGTCACTATGCACGACTTAAATGTTACGTTTATAACCGTAGCAACAGGATCTCATATGAGCCCAGACGCTCTGCGGCTCTTGTTATCTAAATGCATTTCTTCTTGCCGCATGTTTCTCTGACATTAGGTTTACTTGTCAAATTACTATCTAGCCACACTGAATGACATCCCAATACAGTCTAGAAGCACTGCCACTGCCATTCTGCCAACATCATGATGGCATCTGAGATTAGGTTTCAAATGCTGCTTATTAATTTTTTTATTTACAGAGAGGAACAGATGCCTTTTCTATATTCGCTACCTACTTACATATATATTTTTTAACAATTTTTTATTGCTATATGTTACGGTAATAAATACAATCCAGTTTTGATCCATGTGTGTGAAATATGTCTTATCATGAGGGTTTTATTTAAAATGTATAGCGAAAGTAGGGTTTTTCACTTTTAGCACTTTTTTGTACGGATAAATTAATTATACTAACGTTAGATTTTTCTTATTTTACACATAGCTAGGATGCTTTTTATATTTACTTGTACACAGATTCACCTTGTACTGTATTTACACTGCCCATATTAACATTATTTATTGCCTACCTTCCATTCTGTTTCTGTTCATACTTGATATATCTTCTTGTTTTGATTGTTTTGTATTTTCTTGTTTGATTGACATTCTCTAGCGTTACTAGTGTTCTTATTCTCACAATTATTTCTCATTCTGCCGTGGATAGTATGCATGCAAGCAATTTTTTTTCTGCACGCCTTCTGCTGGGTGTAACCTTTGCAGATTTATTGAGTGGTCAAGTCCCAAATCGAACGTACTCCTCCACAGGTGCCGAGCTCAGTGGCATTGCTATGCATGACAGTCCTTCGCCATCGGTATCTCGTGAGTGTGTCTTTCTCTCTATAGTCTCTTATACTCTCTGTTAACTTTAGATGTTGTTGCATCTCTATCTGTAGGAAGTGTAGCTGACGTCAAGTAGGTGCTAGTGTTTTATCTTTATTGAAAAGTGTTGCAGGGACACGTGATGCGATATTTCACTGATGCACCATGACTGGTTTCTTTCATGCAACTAATTCTGCGTGTTCAAAACTGCCACTACTGCTTAGATTAAATACATCGGGGAGAAGTTTCCTAAAAACGCTTGAAACTGATGATTAGTGAACATTGATAACTCAGAGACTGTTGTGTTTTATTATGTCACAAGGTTTTACTGATTGTGAGTGTATGCCTTTTCATCTACAGTAATCATGAACAGGTTCAAATTGCACACGTCACATGCGAAACATTTACCATCTATGTAACTCACTAACGTTTTTTGTTAACTTTTGTTTCTAAATTCGCTATACGGCCATGATGAACGTATCTATAGAATTTTATTTTGAATTTTTATTTTATTTATTTTATTTTTTTATTGCATCATGAACAGATGTAAATAGAAATGTCTGTTCTGCGTGTATTTGTCGGTAACAAAATTGGTTGTCATAGTGTTCAAAAATGTTATATATTGTATACAATCTCATCCAATTAGTTTCACGCAATGCATCGTGATCAGTTGTAACTGTGTCAGTGAAAACCAGATTGGGTACCCTTGGCATTACCAATTCTTGCAAGTTTTGGTGTTCTATCCATATTATTTTAATTTTCATGTGATGCAATTAGTATTCAACAACGTCTTCTACACAGATCTTCTTATAATTTATTCTTGTTAATTTTTACCTGTCTATTAGAATTCTCAGTAATCACACATGCAGCGGTGTGCACCATTAATCGGCGATCGTAATCGGCTGCCACCACGGGTGAGAATTTGAGCTTCATCTGACGTCGGTTGCGTGTCTTGCAGATGGCTACGCCTTCTCTCAGGAGGAGCATGGAGCGGTTCCTCACTCCGAGCTTGTCCGCCTCTACGACACGACAAAAACCAAGCCGGAGGGACTGTGATGCTGGCGCCACCTACAGGTATTGCTCTCGCCATTCGGGCAGCGATCGTGCGACCGATCGTCCAACTGCTGCAAGTGGGTTTTCATACTGGATTCAGATTTATTATCGTTTTCGGGTCTATCAGTCTCATCGTGATCACGCGATCCCTGATCTACACAAACCAATGCAGACGTTCTACAAATGGCTAGCTGACAGTTGTCACCATCACGTGACAGCTCGAAAGTAGCAGCAATTTCTACTTAGCCTATTTCGTGTGCTGCCATGTTGGATCCGCTTGAATCCAGTTGATCTGTCGTCTGCAGGATCATGAATTCATGTCAGTGATGCACCCAAACAAATGTATAGGGTTATTGGATTTGTGCAATCTGGACCAATAATCCATCCAAATCAACATGTCCTACTTTACCCGACTACTTCAGGCGTCCGAAAGCCTTTGCTTGCCGCAATGGGCTTTGCAAATCAAAGCATTGTGAATCGCTGATAAGTGTTGTAACTGGTTTGCCCCCTTAGTTCTCAGGTGCATCCTGTTCTGTCTATGGCCACAATAGTTCAGGTTAACACATATGCTAAGTGTGCCTGTGTGCGTGAGTGTGGGTATCCTGCTATATCTGTACACATCGCATCAAACGCTCCTAAACTGTGTAATCAGAAGTCGGATAATAAGTTATTATTAAGGGGTATTAAGGAGAATCGCTTGGTAATTTACTTATGAGGTCATGGCTATAGTTTGAGGACTCTTTGTAGTATGTATGTATATTCAGCCGGTCCTATATAATACAGCATGGGGACAACTGTAAGAATGTGCTGTATCATATATGTGAAGGATTTCATTGATTCCTTTACAGTTATTTTTGCTCCACCCATGTCTTTGATTTCAATCGATTTTCTTCCGGCTGAATTCTGTGTCGTACTAGTGTTTCTGTGATATGTGTGTGATGCGTGTGTGAACTGTGGCTAGATAGGTGGTGCATAATGCTTTACTTAGTCTGCAATTGGGATTTGCAAATTGCACTAGCAATTGTTTTAGGTAAAAAAGGATATATCCGTGTTGTATCTATGAATAACGACAATCATACAGTAGAATGTTTTAAGCGATTAAATGGCCTCCACTCTTATAACTATGTGTATTATATGCGTTGATTTGATGCTTGTTGCTCTGGCCATAGACTAACCACATTCTTAGCCTATGATGTGACCCACCTCAGCCACGAACGTTGTGTGTATATGTGCGTAGCTAGTATATGAGCACGTGTGGAAATCATATCTGTGCTGTCTGCATTCCATGTTGATATATTTTGGTTGTTTACAGGCAATCTGTTCTCTAAGGCAAGCAGATGTTTTGTCAATGTATTGACAACATGCCGTTTTTTGTCATTACCATCCTATAATATGGTTGAGAAACAACTGAAAGAGTGAGTTAAAACTTAACGCATGGCTATACTACATGAGTGTAGATATTTATACGAAGGCATGCGCATGACATAGACAGAACATCTTACTTATTCTAATAAAGTGACAGATTTCCGTAAATACCACTGTAAGGTGCATGGTTAGAAATTAACTTTTGAACAGTCCTTTTTTCAAAAAGAGGGAGTCCGTAGCAAAATAAGATTTGAAGATTCATGCGATGCACGTCTGCAAGATTTTCTTTGGACATTTGCTGAAAGAAATACGTTAATTCCGTGAGGCCGTGCTCTGGAACGAACTTGTTAGTACAGCAGAATTTTCAGGGAGTCACACGGACTCCTGCATATGTCAAATCAGGGAGTCCGCTCTGGAATGAACTAGTTAGTATAGCAGAATTTTCAGGGAGTCACACGGACTCCTGCATATGTCAAATCAGGGAGTCCGACAGTAAATCAGGGAGTATTTGACTCCGGACTCGCGTTAATTTCGCACCCTGAAGGTATAAATTAAATATAATTATGAAGTGTCGACTGTACAGTATATAGTGATAGAATATATAGACCATGGGCAATGCTCTAGTCACCTTTAAATAGCTACGTGTCATGTTGTCTACAAGCATTTTTTGCCTGTATTCACACTGCATTCAGTCAAGTGTTTGAAGTATTGCTATAGCTAGACGTGTCAGGCATCAGAGGAAAGTAAAGATCGAATGGCAGTCAGTTTATGAATGAACGCCTACCATCGCAAATGTCACTTGACTGGTAGCTGTGTATTGTAAAAGCCCAAGACCTTATACGGTTGGAAACGTCACTTGACTGGTAGCTGTGTGTTGTAATAGTCAAAGACCTTATACTATTGGAAACGTCACTTGACTGGTAACTGTGGCTGAGAGGGTCTATGTCCCCCAGGGTACTGCTGGAACGTACCCTGGTACTATCTAATATGCCGGACCGTACCTCGCCTACTCCACTAACGAGTCTAGGGAGTCGCCTACGCCTACTCCCTAACCCTAACC